CTAAGATGGTTTGGCAGGATTTGCACAATGGTTTATGTGAGTTTAGGGGTTTAGGATGCAGGCGCTGAGTTCTTGGTTTCCGGGTTTGGGTTGCAAAACCCAGGGATGAAGGACCAGAGCTTGTGGCTCAGGGCCTCTACTGGGTGTGGATACTGTATAGTTATAGGCTTCAGGGTTTGGGCTCAGGGGTTTCTTAAGAGCCAAGGTGAGAAAGAGCTTTGACATTGGGGCTTCAGCAGGCTGTCGGGTTTCGAGTGTTCCGGGGTTGAAGGGTTTGGGTCTTCAGATTTTCTAATGACAATGAGTTCACTTGGGGGAAGATGGAAGCGATGGAACCAATGGACGTTCATGGAAACACCAAAGAGCCCATAACGCATAACATGTAAACTACAAACCCTGAATCGAAAAACGTACACCATGCCCTAAGTCCCAATCCCTGAAACATAGCCGCTGTTCCGGGTGTTTCGGCTACACAGCCGCTACTCGGGTGTTTCGATGTTCAGTTCTAGAGACGCGAGACTTTCTCATGGATCGCCGAGCCCCAGTTGAAAGCTTCATGGCGTTGGGAGTTTTAGTCTTACAGTAAACGCCATAAAGTTGGAAACCGGATTAAGGCCAAATAGTGCTGGGATTCCCTATGCATTACTCTTATGGATTCAGGCTATTGGGCTTCCAACTTTGAGGCTTCTACTGTAGGGCTTTCGGGTTGAGGGCTTTGGGACTTTAGGCTATGTGCGGATACCGACCTTCGGGGTGCAGGATTGAGGGCCTGACGGATTAGAGCTTCAAGGGTTTAAGCTTTGCGGTCCCATCTTATGACCATATCTAGGCACATGGTGTGCATTTAGACTCATACATACATACATACATACATGCATACATACATACATACATACATGCATTCATACAGAAATACGTGCATACATACATACATATATATATATATATATACAGAAACATAATAGATAGCGGGTACAGCTGTTCTCCGCAGGAATGAGCTGCCTTGTGAGTCCAAGGACTCCAATTCTTCGCTGGGTCCTGGCTTCACGGCGTGTAAAGAGCATTAAAGTACCTATAGTCTCCATGTTAGTTCCTTCTTGGGGGTTAACTCATAGGATCCTACATATGTCATTGGTTACTCCCAAACAAGGAACTACAATGGAGACTAGAGGTACGGTGTAATGGGTTCCAGGTGTAGGTCCATGGAAAGCTTCTGTGTGGTTCTCCAGGTCCATAGTATATAGGGTTTAAGACTTAGTTTCTGAATTCATAAGTACACTAAAACTCTCAGTTTTTTGCGGGTATGATTATCCCAAAAGTGTAAAGTGTATCCACTCAGCTACTAAGAAGAAGGCCTCTATCGATCTTGCTGCGTTTGGCAGGGGTCACGGGTTGAAGGGGTCTGGTATCTCGCAGCGGCTTCAAGCTGAACGGTGAACGGGTCAAGCATTCCGGGGCGCAGAAGTTCTTGTGGGATCCTGGGGTTCGGTGCCAGATGTCCTCCGAATATTTGCACAATCATCATAAGCAGCCCTTTGAAAAGGCTCAATCGCATGACATCCTATTCAATCAGAAAAACTCCCGTAGCAGGCTCACGAAGCTGGCAACGTTAACAATGCATAATTTAATGAAATGTCTCAGCCCCCGCACGAGCACTTTCCGAATGCCATGACTCATGCCCTGTAGCCCCACCCCCTTTAAAGGAACCCTTATAGATCCCTTAAACGAACCCGCCTCGAAACTCTGAACCCCCCCCCCCCCCCCAACCCAAAAACCCTCAAGCCCTAAACCCCCTTAAACCCCAAACCCTAAAGCCCTGAACCCCCAAAACTCGGCCTCATCAAAGCGCAGGTAGGGCTCCAGCAACTCGCAGGTCTCGTCGTTGATGTTATCCTTTCAAGGCCCTACTTGGAGGATCATGGGACTTAGCAAGTAAGTACCTTAATTGGGGTTAGATGTAGTTATAAGCAGAGTTACCCTAATTATAATCCTAGTTACTAAGTCCCATGATCCTTTAAGTAAGACTGGATCCATAGGGGCCCCAATAAAGAGATCCAGAAGGGCTTCTTGAAAAGTGGATCTATAAGGGGTTTAGGTGTTTGAGGTTTAGGGCTTGGGGGCCTTGGGGTTTAGGGTTTGGGGGTTATGTTTCTCGACTTCTAGAAACGAACTACTTCCAGAGGTCGCTTCCGAACACCAGTCTTGGTGTGAAGCTTCAGCATCTCACCTCTGATGTACACCGCCTCCACGCAGCAGTTCACAGAGTACTGCCGGTAAAGCTCGCGCACTCTTTCGCAGCCAGCTGCAGCGTTGCCCTGGCGTGTCGAAACACTCCGGAGGATCTTCAATCCTCCGTCCCACTTTGCCAAAGCTTGCTGCAACAGGTAAAAAAGACGTGCACTTCTTCCCGCAGTGTCACTGGGCAAAGTAACTTGTTGGATCTCGTTCGGCACAAACAGACACTGTCTCAGTCAAGGCCCTAACACTGGGTTCTGGTTACCCTAAGGGTCCAGGTGCCCAAAAGGGTTCCTTTAAGGGGTGCCTTCATTCCTTCTAGAAGGGTGCTATAAAGGCTTTAGGTTTTGGAGTTTAAGGGTCCATGTACCCAAATGCCCTTGAAGTACTCTCTATATAGGTACATTGGGCCGAAGGTATATACTATTAGGGTACATGGACACCTTGGCTTCATTTAAGTTACCCTAATGAGCAAACCCGATGAGTTACCCCTATATTACGGTAACTGAATTCAAGTTCCTGACCAAGAACCCAGAAATCCTAAACTGTGTAAAGCCGAAGGATTCAGGGCTTGGGATTTCTAGTCTAGAGAGGTTTTCAACAACAGGATTTAGGTGACGGCTCCTTCTAAGGGGTCTTTATGGTTCTTGGGGGGTTGTTGAGGGTTTTGGGGTTTTGATGGCATCCTTTGAAGGTTCGAGGGCTCAGAGTTTAGGGTTTCAAGGCTTAGGGTTTAGGCTTGCTGAGAAGATAGTTTTGGGTTTGCTCAGTGACTCGCCTGAGCACACAGGATTACGTAGACCGTCTGGGTATTTTAGAGCAGGACTATGCTTCGAAATCCTGCCTGACGTTCAACCCCAAAGTACGCAAAGGACACTTCGAGGTATGTCCCTGGAAGGGTCCATGCACCTATATAGCATATTCTGAAGCCAAAGACAAGAAGTGAATGCATGCTGACATGGAGGGCGGAAGTACATGCTATATGGGTACATGGGTGCTGAGGGTCTAGGTAATAGGGCATGGGGATATCAGAGGCGGCAACGGTTTCGGCTAGACCGTGCCCTTGCTCGTCATCCCCCTTAAGAACTGGTCGCCTTCTCATTGGCCGCGAAGTCCAGGATGTTGTTCAGGAAGTTCATATCCTATCACAAAAGGCCCAGCTTACCTATATGGTGGGCTACTGCTCCTTGGCTACTGCTCCTTAAACTTTACATACACCTCGTAGTGCCAATGATCCTTAGCCCCAAAACCCAAAAGACTAAACCTCTAGCGACGACGATTTCTCGGTAGAACAAGCATAATGATTTCAATCCTGCCGGGATTGCAAGAGAACCTTTCAACAACTCTTCAAGCTCAACCCAGCTTACCTTTAGACTTACTAGCAGTAATGGTGCGAGTCATAGTAGCAACCACAATCATCATCGTCACCGAAGAAAAACGTAAAGACCATCCGTGCTAAGTGTAGGGACCTGTCGTTTGCATGCTGCTAACCAGGCTTTCACTATATCGCAGCACATGACACCACCAAGCTTCTCAGAGTCGACACTCCGAGAAGCCCAAAATCGCCTTATCAGTGCAAGAACATATCTCCCTAAGGGTCCATGTACCCAAAAAATATATACTTTGGGCCCAATGTACCCATATAGGGAGTACTTTAAGGCCAATGTATATACTAGTTAGGTACATGGACCCTGAGGGTCTAGAAGCCCTGCCAGTGTATGCGGGACCGAGACCTATGTGGCGGGTTACTTTCTTTACCACAGACAATCATGTACTGAAAGGTGTGTATTGCTGGTCTCTCCATTACAACATGCCCAAGATATGCACTCGCCAATTCTCAAACAGAGACGTATCAACACTCAGCAGCACTAATCCCTAAACCCTAAACGATATAAGTTCTCCTACAGGTGCAATTGCTCGGTGCGCCGGTGTCTAGGGGCTTGTGAATAATGCAGAGCAACAGACTGCCAAAGACATTTGAGTCATACGGTCGAAAGGATGGGTCGTTGAAGCATGCCTGACATTGTGCCTCCAAGTGGATGGAGGGTTTACAGTAGCTCGGCGATGAGCAGTCCTGCAGATCTTTCTTCGCGAACTCCTCGTAGCTGTCCATGATGAAGATTGCCGAGACCTGTTTGGGCTTCGGGGTTTTGTCTCCTTTGAGGTTAGGGTTTAGGGTTTAGGGTCTTTTACAAGAGCCTATGTTGGTTCATTTCTTGCATTCTTCGCTTTCTTCGGGAGTTTGGGGCTCTGGCGTTGTAGGGCTGAGGATCAATGGGTTGAGGGTTTTGCAAGCTGGTTTAGGGTGGATTTGCGAGCGCTGGGGCTTAGGGTTCATCAGCGAATTAGCTCCGAAATCCACAACATTGATCGTGCTCCCAGGCAAAACTCTCAGCACTCCCTCTGCGCTGAAAAATACAACAGCAGCACGAAACCTATAGCTTTCATTTAACTGACAGTGGCAACCTGCAGGGCAGAGTGCACTAGATTTGCGAGAAGTGTGCCCTAAACCTTCACACCCAAACACAAAGACGACGAATGAGCGGTTTAGACAAAACGTCCGGCAGCTCGAGATTTCAAGAGGGTCGACGAGAAGGGGCGCCGAACAAACGACAAGACAGGGATTTTCGGACGCAGCCCGTATGCAGTTCTTTCGGGTCAGCGTTGTAAACGAGATCTTGCGCACCCATGCTGGCGAGATCTGACAGCCAAACGGCAAGCAGAACCCAATCCCTGCAACGGAACGTGCCTTGTTGATGAGCTTCTCATCCACCTGCTCCAGACTCAACATCCTAAGCGTCCAACAACCCACATAGTAGAAAAACACTCATACTTCGGATATGCCCACAGGTTGTCAAGGGTTTAGAACAAGATTTTGCTATGTCGCGAAACCGCTGCGGGTCGACAAGTCAAGGTTCAGGGTTTTGGGGAGTGGGTTAGATGTAGATGTCTACGCAGGAAACAACGGTAGACTCTGCTTCTGGCCAAAGTGTAGTGATACGGTTGATGACATAAATCCTGCAGTACCTTAATGACCCTCGACGGTGGGAATTATGGCACATTCCTGATTTTGGGAAATGCAGGATTTAACTCAATCCCTAAACCCGAAAACCCTATAGATCCCTTAGAGGAACCCCTTAAAAGGTACCCTTGTAGATCCATTTAAAGGAACTCCAGGGTTTATATCAACCGTACCCCTAATAAAGTGCAGATCTTCGATGCGGAGGAGAGCCCCCCAAAAAAGGGCTTCATCTAGGGGCCTTAATAATCAGAAGGAGAGCCTAAAAAAGACAGGGCTTCATCTAGGGGCCTTAGTATTTAGAATCTAGGGTTCCTTTAAAGGGTATACACGAGTTATATCATCAAGCGTAGTGGTAAACCTGTACTCCGAAGCCCTTTCAACCAAAAGGCTTCTAGCCTCGAACCCCTAGAGGGTCCGGTTGATGATATAAATCCTGCATTACCTTAAGGACCCTAAACTATGGGAATCATGGTATATTAAATACTATGGGTAATGCAGGATTTATATCATCAACCGGTCACACCCTACTTTCAGGTTCATGGGTTATAAAAGGGTTCCTTTAAGGGTCCCTTTCAAAGGGATCTCTGGGGATTCTGTAAGGGTAGAGGGTTTAGGGCCTACTTGGAGGTTCATGGGTAGTTATAAGTGCGGGTATAAGTCTTATAACCATCGTTATCCTACTTACAACCATACTTATAACTACCCATGAACCTCCACGTACCCCTTTTTGTGGTACCTAGTTTGATGGTTAGATCTGGTATATAGAGAATTGGGTACCCTAACAAAGGGGCAGGGTATGAGCCTCTAGGTAAAGCATAAAAACCCAGAGCTGCCAGGCCAGATCCCAGACCCGTGCAATTGGAGTGGGCAGGTCTGTCGACTAATCTGTGCCCGCACAGCGGGCACGCCCTGAGATTTGTCGGGTATCATGGGGTACTAAAGGTTAACCTTTTTGGTTATATAAGGATTATATAGGGACTATACTACACAAAAAAAGATAAAGGTTACCTACTCTGCTACTTGGTTTTTGAAGTCCTCAAGCCGCAAAGCCTAGCCACTTGATGCGTACTAAACCTAACCTCAAACTATCCCGATCGACCGCTCTCGCCGCTCACTCACCGAAACGCCTACTTGGAGGTTCATGGGACTTAGTAAGTAAGGTTATAAGTACCTCAATCGGGGTTATGAGTAGTTGTAAGTAGAGTTACCCTAAATATAACCCTAGTTACTAAGTCCCATGATCCTGTAAGTAATACCTAAATGGCCTGATCCTGGAACACGCAAACCCTGTCGTAATTCAACTCCGGTTGCCTTCCAAACCCGAAACCCTAGAGCTTGATGACTACATGCCAAACCCTTCAAAGCCCTTCCCTCGCCTGCACCGAGGCCTAAAACCTACACCCTAGGGTTTAGGGGGTAGGGTTTAGGGTGCAGGGTTAAGGGACTTAATTGATTTTTTAGGGTTTAGGCCCTATAACCCTACAGCCCTGCCTTCACGGAGATAACCGACTTCGACTGTAGAATTTGCAGACCGTCGAAGGTCAGCTTGATGATATCCACAGGCCTTGGGGTAAGGCCCGACTGTAGTCTGGAGTTTAGGGTTCTTGGATTCAGGGTTTAGGGTTTTAGGGTTTAGGGTTTGTAAGCACATGCTTGGTCAGACACTTGTTGTTGGTCTTGATCTCCGTGATATCCTGCGGCCGAGAAATGCCGAGAAAGCCAGGCAGCAACTACGGGAAAACCCATCCCTTGGCCTTCAAACCGAGAGCGCAGGATCATGGTCAAGGGTTGCAGCTTATATAAGGATTTGGCCCGGCTGTTGTGATGCTTCCCTGAAGGTCCCATCCTATCAAGGCCCTTTTGGGCTCAAGGTATCGGGAATCAGGGATTAGGGCCGCAGCTACCCACCCTACCCTCGTAGCTCTGCTGCCTCTTCTCCATGGCTCTTCACTTTTCCGCCCACACTCTGCTATATCAGTATCAGCTAAACCCTTCTAAAGGACTGGTCTAGGGCACCTCAACCCTGATAACACAATACCACAAGGACACGCTTCAGGCATGTCGGCCGTCCTTGGGGGTAAACGGTGGGTTTAGCAGTTTAGCTCTTTAGCCACCACCACCACCACCACCACCACCACCACCACCACCACTAACAACAACAGCAACAACAGCAACAACAACAACTACTACTAGTACTACTACTACTACTACTACTACTACTACTACTACTACTACTACTACCACCACTGCTACTACTACTACTACTACTACTACTACGACTACTACGACTACTACGACTACTACTACTACTACTACTACTACTACTACTACTACTACTACTACTACTACTACTACTACTACTACTACTACTACTACTCGTGCTACCAGTACTTCTGGTACTACCAGTACAACTACTACTACTAGTACTACACTACTGCCACTGCCACTGCCACTGCCCATGCTACTGCTAACGCTACTGATGCTGCTGCTACTACTACTACTACTACTACGACTAAGACTGCTACTACTACTACTACTACTACTACTACTACTACTACTACTACTACTACTACTACTACTACTACTACTAGCCACCCCCCCCCCCCTACCAACCACCTCTTTTACATACTCTTGTAACCCACATCCGTTTTACTCGGTATTTACAGCACTTTCGTCATGTATGAACATCTTATGAAGCTAGAAATTTCACCTGCGAGCTTTCAAACTACAGCATCCGATTGTGGAATTTTTTGTTGTGGGGGTGCGTGGGTGTGCGGGAAGAATGAAGTCGAGATTGTTACGCGGACACCTCGAACAACATCTCCGCAAGAGCCATTTTACTCGGTATTTACAGTACTTTCGGGATGTCCGCCATCTTATAAAGTTGCCAAGCCTACCTCTGGACTTTTTTACGTTGTCTGTTTGCCTTTGCGAGGGCTTTCAGCGAAACCTCGAAATTGGGTGGGAGAAGGCTTGTTTTACTCGGTCTTTAAAGTAGTTCATCTGGTATGTTAAATCTTCGTCATCATCATCATCATCAACAACGAACATCATCACGACTTGAACAGAACAGAGAGGCATGCAGATTGCGACTGCACGTGTCTCGCAAGTTTTTTTGGAGCTGGCAGTCATTGCTTGGCGCGTGTCCCTGCAAGGTTTGGTGGGGCTAGCAGTCAATGGTTGGCGTGGAGGCTTGAGCTACTAGGAGCAGTTCCTGTGGATATTCGCTGGCAACTGTTCGAGGCTGCCTGTACGTTATCAGCCCCCCCCCCCCGCCCCACACCCCCCCACGCATGCAATCGCATCATGAGCATAGCATACAAAGCATGCAATCGCATCATGAGCATAGCATACAAAGCATCCTGGAGCATCTGGGCTACTAGGAGCAGTTCCTGTAAATATTCGCTGGCAACTGTTCGAGGCTGCCTGTACGTTATCAGCCCGCCCCCCCCCACCCCCCACGCATGCAATCGCATCATGAGCATAGCATACAAAGCATCCTGGAGCATCTGGGCTACTAGGAGCAGTTCCTGTCGATATTGGCTGGCAACTGTTCGAGGCTGCCTGTACGTTATCAGCCCCCCCCCCACCCCAAGCAACGCATGTAAAAGGGGGTGGTTGGTAGGGGGGGGCCGCCTACTACTACTACTACTACTACTACTATAACTACTATAACTACTATAACTACTATAACTACTATAACTACTATAACTACTATAACTACTACTACTACGACGACGACTACTACTACTAGTACTACTGCTGCTACTACTACTACTACTACTACTACTACTACTACTACTACTACTACTGCCATTACCACTGCCACTGTGGCTGCTGCAACAGAAACTAGGTCCTTAAATAACCTCCTTAACACATGGAGGTCCTTTTTGAGGGCTCCGGGTTTGGATTCAGGGATTTAGGGGTTTGAGAATTTAGGCGTGTAGGATGTAGGATCGAAAACCAAGGTCCTTCTTGGTGATGAACCCGTAAAGCCGTTATAGAATCCTTAAAGGCCACCCTTAAACGAACCGTTGTTGGGCGCCTGGACCCTTAGGGTCTAAGAAGGTCCTTCTTGGTGATAGAGGGCCTCTATAATAAAGCCCGACAACTAGGGAAATCCCCATCAAATCCTTATGTCCATCTGGGATCCCTAACTAGGTTCCTCAGTAGCCCCTTTATGATAAGGGTACCCTCTTTCCTAATGTTCGGTTTTAATAAGGGGATCCCAAGTTAATAGGGGCAAAAGGGTACTATTGACTCTGGAACCTAGCTAAAGTAAGGTCCTTCTGGGTTCTTTTGACAGACACCTTGGCATAGCCATCTCAGCAAAACGCAAGAAGCAGCACAACCAGTGGCTGTCCTTCTTGGTGATGGAGCAAGAGGACACTAATATAGTACCCTAAATAGTAGGATCCTTGTTATAAGGACTCCAAAAATACCCCCTAAGGCATGGACCCTTAAACCGTAAACCTTAAAGCACTTATAGAGTCCTTAAAGGCACCCCTTAAAGGAAGGGTCAAAGAAGGTCCTTCTTGGTGATGGCATTGCTTTTTTCGAACCCTGCACCCAAAACACTAAACCCAAACCATGGCCCCAAAATCCCAAATGAAGGTCCTTCTTGGTGATGGTACTCCCCATATAGGTGCCTTTGGCCTAAAGTATATATCCTAAACCCTAAACCCTTAAGGGGAAGCTCCTTCTTGGTGATGGAGTTGCATGTTTCGAACCCTTAAAGCACTTATAGAATCCTTGAAGGCACCCCTTAAAGGTTAAGGGGAAGGTCCTTCTTGGTGATGGAGTTGCAGGCGGACTCGGCCTCGTGGAGGAAGGGCAAAGCCTTGTCCAGCTCGATTTGGGCCTCGGCCTTCTCGCCTTCAGCGGTCTCAGAGGGGAAAATCAGGGACCCTTAATGGGGACCCCTACCCTATAATGGGCTATATAATGGGTATATTGAGAATATATACCTTGGGGTCACCCTATAATGGGCTGTATAGTATAATGGGTATATAATGGCTAGATTAAGGGTATATACCTAGGGGTCACCCTATAATGGGCTATATAATGGGTATATAATGGCTATACTAAGGGTATATACCTCGTGATCCATATTAAGGGTCCCTCCTTTTACCCTTGGAGCGGTCGGGTTATTCGGAGTTAAGGCTTCGAGGGTTTAGGGTTTTACGGTTTGGGGCTTTAGGGTTTAGGTTCAGGGTTTAGTAAGGGCTTAGGGTTCTTGAGGCATCCTGTGGCGATTGAGTTTCACCGGGCTCCTGAGGGCTTACTCACGGTCAACATCGGCTTCTATCCTTGCTCACGGCTGGGATTCCACTGCTGGGTTTGGGGATCCTTCTTTCAGGTTCTGGGCGTCAGGTTTCCGGGTGGTGACGATTCTTCAGAAACATGGGTAGGGTTGACTGGCTGGGCGCCGCGGAAGGCTCAACGTTTTGAGCGTTGTGACAATCACTTGCCCGCCAACCACCGCAACCGCCAACAACTGATTCTGAGAGTCAGAGTCATGTCAGCCGAAACAGTCGTGACGGGAGTGGCAACAGGGCTGACTGCGACAGTCGTGGCACGTATAACAACAGTAGCGCAGAATGGAGTTTGCAACTCCAAGCAGTCCTAATCATAGCACCCCAAACCTAAAGCCCCAAACTCTAACCCAAAACCCTAAACCCCCTAAACCCGAAACCCTAAACCCCTAAACCCTAAACCCCTAAACCCTAAACCCCTAAACCCCAAACCCAACCTCGAAAACCCAACCCCGAATCGGAACCACCCTTGCTGACTTGCGAGCTGTGTTGCCGTTAATCTTGTCCGCCTCAGCCTGACAATCGGCCTTCTGGGCGTTGACCTTGTGCAGGATTATGTGTGTATATATATATATATATATATATATATGTTACATGTACATATACATATATATATATATATATATATATACGAATGTATATGAGCTTTTGTTTGCAACTGGAAGGAGTGGGGGGTTCGTAAGGTTTGCCTGGCTATGTTTAGTGTCTATTTGGGATTTAGCGTTTATGGCTCATTGTCTGAAAGCTCTTCGCAGGCGGAGGCTTTGACTTCTCTTTGGATCAGAAGGACTTGGTCTCTCCGGGATGTTTCGTCCTGATGGGTGTGGAGATGCCTGGGGCTCAAACATTTCAGATTTCAGGTGCCTGCAGACCGTTTAGGGTTTAGGGTTTCCCTAAGGGTCCGTGTACCCAAACAGTATATACTTTGGGCCCATTGTAACTATGTAGAGACTACCTTACGGCCAATGTATATACTATTGGGGTACAAGGACCCTTCGGGATTAGGGCCCATGCTGGATTGCTCAAGATATAGTCCAAACTGTGCATGCGACGCGCCAAGGACAGCGGCTGGTGCCCTGTCTGCAAGAAATGGTCAAGCCTATGGTCTTCGGTCTTGAATCTTCTAGCTCGTCCCCTGCGAGTGGCTCTCCAATTTATAGCCTTTCTTGGGCGCCGTTTCCCTAAGGGTCCATGTACCCAAATAGTATATTATACTTTGGGCCCCATGTACCCATATAGGGAGTACTTTAAGGCCAGTGTATATACTATTTGGGTACATGGACCCCTAGGGTTTGGCAATAATGATGCCGTGTTATTGGCGCCACAAACCTCGAAGCGAAAAAAGGACAAGGATTTGGGGAGCCGGAACACCCGGGCAACATCCGAGAACCTGGCTTGCTCTGCTTTCTTGTCCGCCTTAGCCTTCTCCGCCATGACCTGAGCACTGTTCTTTTGGGGGTTTCAGGCTTTGTTTTGGGTACGTATTTGTTGTGTTTGTTAACAGAGGCTCTTTTGAAGGGTGGCTCTGGTGTTTCTGCTTAAAGGGCTGCAGGGTAGGGCTGTGTCTTGGCTTTTTCTAGCTGAAGGGCTTGAGACCCTTTTGTCCTCAGAAATCCAGAACCTAGAGGTTGGCCTAGTCCCAAAATCTGAAGTTTTGTGTTGTGTTCATACTGAGGAAGATGTTGAAGTTCCATGTTTCGATTTCGAAAAGCATTTGTCTAAGAACTGTTTCAATCCTGACCCTGAGACCCTCCCGGGACCTCGAAAAGAACCTTAAACCCCCAACCCTTGGCCCGAAATCCCTAAACCAACTCAACCCTAGGCCCTGAAACCCGAAGCCCTAAAGCCTTAGGGAACCCCTATAGTACAGTAACCCTCACAAGGCCCATGAGCCCGAAACCTGTTTAGGCCCCTATACCCCACCTAGACCCCCAAGTGCCCTTTAAAGGGCTCTGATATTTCTCATTATGAGGTAAGTCGGGGCTACAATAAAGGGTAGTATGGGGGTCCAGGCAAACCCCTCAACCCTAAACCCTAAACCCTAAACCCTAAACCCTAACCCCTCAAATGCCATACCGTCAACCCTGAACCCTCAACGGCCTTCTCCAAGAGAGCCGTGGTCTTCTTCTCCTCCGCGCGCAAGACCACATCCTGCTCCTTCAGCTCGACCTCGTAGTTCGGGGACAGTTTAGGATCCTTTCCTTAACCCTGAAAAACCCTACCTTTTTAGGGTTCTTCTTTCTGAATTCTTGATATAAGTCCTTAAAAAAGGTAGGCTATTCGGGGCTAAGGTGGGGTTTAGGACAGTCTACAAGTCTACAAGGCGAACCTTTCTTTTAGGGTGCAATGGCGCCTTCTTTGCAGAGGCTTAGAGCGAACCTTCAGCGATGTAGGGTTTCGTGTTCCTAGAAAACCCGTTTTTCGGGTTGATCTACCCGTAGCCCTACTCAAAGCACACTTCGCAAAGGTCCCATGGACCACATGATTCATAATACCGCCTTTGATAAGCCTTGTGTGACGAAGACTGTTCTCCGTACCCGAGGCTCTCTTCTATGATCAAAAAAGGACGGGATCAATCTCATCAGATCTAAAGCTCCTGAACATGATTTGAACTCTTAGCGTCGTAACCTTAAGAACGCAGCCTTTGAGCTGTCCGATGCTCGAGTCGATGACGCTGCTTGCGACCATTAAC